ATACATACATACATACATACATAGATACACGCGCACGCGCACGCGCACGCACGCACGCACGCACGCACGCACGCACGCACGCACGCACGCACGCAGGTAGACAGCAGGAGACTCATGCAGGCTCGGGCCAACCTCCATCAATGGTGGCTCACAGGGGCGGCCGAGCGCTGTCACCTGCCGTCGCACGTAGCCTTGTCCTCCCTCTCACACCCTCTTCGCCAACATACTCCGAGTCGAGCTCTGCTTCCGAAAATTCCGCTCGCTGCTCGCCGTCGTCGCCGTCGTCGCCGTCGCCTTTCTCTCTTTGGGCCTCGCAGTCCAAGTGGACGAGGAAGCGGAAACCGGCCTCGCCCTCGTAGTCCTGAGCGTTGGCTCTCCATCGGCTCTCCTGTTCTTCCCGCTGAGACCATCACACTTATTGGATGTGAGCGGAGCCAGACGTCCGTGGATGCTTGATCGCTCTGCAGAATGCTACTACCCTATTCTCTTCTGATCTCGTCAGATTTGCCCTTTCACCTCTGCGCTCTACTCGCCTCGTGCACCAGGGCTTCAATTCGCGCGAGTGCGCTCTGCAAATTTTGCTGCTTCCCTTGGGCTCTGCCTGCCTGAGGATGTGTCTGCAAATCGCTGCATCAAAGCATAGACTAGCCATCAAACGTCAGAGGCTCCAAATAGCTTGACCCATGTGACCTGAAAAAGGAACATTCGGCACAATCCGTCCGAACGAATGCATGCTTCTCCGCTACGGGCAACTAGAGTCAGCTAGGAGGGAGTCGTGGCGCCCTGCCGAAGTATGCCGAAGTGTTGTTGCATCTTCAGGGGCGCGTGCACCACAAAGCTTAAATGTCGAAAGTCGACAACTTCATCAAGGCGGACACAAGTAGTGGGCCGCCCAACTGCTTGACGTGTCAGTGCACACGGAGTTTCAACAGCCCAGGGCCAGGAAGATCTGAATTTCCCTCTGAGAGCTCGGCATTACGGGCTCCAGGCCAGCGACCACACCAAAAGGGCCGGGAGGCTGGGTCCTTCCGAAAGGCAGAAACGCGTCGTGGAGTGGCAGCTGAGCCTCGCTCAGCCTCTCCTCCCGCGGCACAAAAGGAACGGACACTTCCGCTTGCCGCACAGGCTCACGCACCTCACAAGCTCTGTAGGAGGCCCCCGCTACATGTTTGAGAGGAGGACGGGGACACCCAGATGCAGCTAACCGCAACCGCGGCCAGGATGGCTTTTTGCAGGTGCTACGTCATCGAATCTCCAGCGCTACACTGAAGTTGCGCGCCCCGGCTCTGATAACTCTAATATGTTCCTGCTCCACGCGAGAATCGGAAACACGCCGCCATGCAGGCACGTGCAGGCACCACAGTTGGCACTTCACAGCATGCATGTGCGACACGTTGCGATGCGGATTCGGCTGCATTACTCGATTGCAAGGCAAAAGCTTGAATCGGTCGATTCAGTTGAGCTGATCCGTCCATCTCCAATAGTCTACATGTCGTGCAATTGCTGACCTAGGTTAAGATTGGGGGAGATGCCAAAGGCCAGCATGTGTTGCTGGGCGTGGCACGACCGGTGACACAGCCGATGCTGCATGACGCTTGTTGCGAAACCGATCCACCACAGCAAGTTCGTGCCCCGAAGCATCTTCAAACCGAGGCCTGCTTGGCCACCTGTCGCCGGCGGGCCTTAAGGCAGAGGTCAGTAAGGATGTGCACCTGATTCATCGTGCAATGCTCTTCGATGTGCCTTGAGCCTTAGGATGCCTTAGATGCTAGATGGATGCCAAGGTCACCGCCGGGGCTGCTGCAAGTGCAGGAGCATCCACCACAGGATCGGCAGCATGTGCCACCGCTCCCGCCTTGGCATCCTGCGACAATACGCTCCGTCGAAGTGAGTTCGCCTCCCGCTCCCCGCCTGGGGCCTGGCCTGGAGCTCTCCCGGGAGGCTTTGCTTCTCTCGGAGAGTGACGGTGGCGGTGGCGGCGGTGGCTTTCGCGAGGCCGAGGCGGTTGAAGCCGAGGCCCTGAAGGCAGGAAGCCAAGGCTTCCAAGCAGCTCGAAGCTCCGACTCGTCCGGTCTCTCCGCTCTCACCTGAGCTCCAAGGCTGAGAGGCTCTCTACTCCAGTTTCACCGGTTAGTCTCTGGGTTCGCGACCCGACATGGCAGGTGGGCATAGGTGGGCAGAGTTCGGAGTGATCTGCTCTGTTTGACGTGTCTCGATCTCCATGTCTCAGTGCTGGTTGGTGGTTGCTCTTGGCAGGTGTGATTCATGCATCTTCGAAACTCATTGTATACCTAGACCCTCAGTATCTCCAGTTCTCGGCTCAACGGAAGATTCGGCCTCAGGATTTGCCAGTGCATCGCATGTAGACAGTTGCTCATGGGAACGTTGCTCAGCAACAGTGATGCGGACACAGCGATCCAAGGAAATGTCGGACCTCGTGTCCAAGATCTTCTCAGAGCTGCTCGGATTTTTTTGGACCTCGTGCTGCTCTTGCAAGGAAGCCTCACCCCGAAAGGGCTCACGGCGGAGCCTCAGTGACAGGGAGAGGGTCTCAAGCGGGGCAAGAGCATGAAGATAGGCCCATGCAGCCAAGGGACTGTGTCTGGAATCCACCAGGCCTTGTGCTCACAATCGCTCAACTCACCCTGCAATTTCGGGCCGCTTCGGCTTTGCTTCAGCCTCTCACAGCGGCTTCTTGGGTACTGACCAGGGTCTCTGCCGCCGTGACCACGAGGGCGTGAGCCGGGCTGAAGAGCACGCGGCCCGGAGTCGTCGTGTGGCCCTCGAGGCGGTGCACCAACCGCGCCTTTCAGCCAATGCTTCGAAAATCTGCAAGGACCTTCGCGACTTTTCGCCGGGGGGCATTGGTCGTGGCCCATACGCATACGTCACCGTTGGGCTGGCCGCTCAGAACGTACCTGCGAGAAATGTGAGAAAACTCCAGGTTGGTCCAAAATCGATGCATCTTTTCGAATTCGGACTTCTGTCATCGCGAAGAAGTTGCATCCTTGTCCCTCTTCTGGGCCGAGACTCCGATGTTGGGCGTGACGATAGTGTGGAGACCGGGTTTTTAGATGGCGCGACGATTGGGGCAATCGCTAGGCTCTGCCGTGCAGGTGACGAGATGTCTGCACTTTCGCTGCCCTGCCTTGGAGACAAGGTCTTCAGTAGCGGACATTCGGCCCGAGTCGGGGAGCTGTGTTGTGCCGCTTCACTCGACACGTCAGTGACTCTGTCTATAAGTTTTGTGTTTGGCAATCTTTATCAGGGACACGAAAACCAGGCTCGGAATGTTGATGTTGATGTGCCTTGCTGGACACCATACGCAATCCGACGAGTTGATTAATGATTTACTTTGGAGCAGATGCCGCATGCCTGTAATTATCGAGCTCTCTGCAGCACCCCTCATTACTTCGCGGGGGCACTGAGAGTCCGGGGAGAAGCTCGGAACAGAGGCGACGGGGGCGGCGCTCGCCGCACTCGGAGTCTGTGGCGCTTCCTCAGGATATTCGCAGATCAGCCTCAGCGATTCAGGGGTGCTCCACGGTGCTCCCACTCCCAGCGCCAGCATGTCGTGCCCGATTGCATCAAGCTCGATGGTAGCACTCTGAAGTCGGCGGGTCAAGGGAGGCACTCGCCATCAAAGGCATCGATCAGGACCATCTGCGACCTCGGCGCTCTGAGATCGGCAAAGTTTCCGAAGACTAATTTGCTGCGGACTCGCCTACAGCGCTGCATCTGAATAGCTGCTCCAGCACGCATGCATTAACCACGCTTTGCCTCTGACATCGTCTTTGACTGCATCAACATTCCAGGCACAGCATCCATATCCATCAGTTTATCCTCGTCCCCCCTGCTTCCTTCCATTTCCTTCCTGAGCCCTCCCATAAATATCCTCACTCGAATAACTCTATGCCATCGGCTAGATACTGCTTGTCAACCCTGGGAACCCTGAGTGCTCCGGCCGTGTCCGAGCCAGCAGGTACTTGCCACAGGGGCTGAAGGCTACGAACTGCGCCTCCAGATCCGAGAGATATCCAATGGGCCCATGGCGGCCAGAAAGAGGGCTTGAGTCCGTGCGCACAGCTTTCGTGAGCTTGACATTCCATTTCCTGCCTGGTCTGGCACATGCGGTCGCAGGTCGAAGGAGGTGAATTCTCCTGCAAAGAGGGGAGAGGCAAAGGGCTTCAAGGAGGAGACGGCAGTGCCTTTAGCATAGTTCCGCGTGTCGAAGAGGTGCAGCTTCGGCTGGCCAACACACGCTGCAAAGACTAGCCCCTGCCTTAGCAAAAGCTTTATGCGGAGGGTAGAGGCGCGGGGGTTCAGGGCTGTGAGATGTGTCGCCGGGAGGCTGGTCGAAGCTGGCGATGGTGGTGCCTCAAACGACACATGAGCTTGTCAGTCGCTATCGGTATCCATGCTATCCATGCTATCTGCGAGGACCTTGCCTTGGCCATTGATCTTGGCCACCGGCCGCTCCTTTCGACAGTTTCGAGAACTTGTTTCCAAGAGAGGGCACCTTTTGAGGCCCGTGCCTGGCGTAGGTCCCAGAGGAGCACCGCACGGTCCTACACCAAAGAAGGACTGGAATCCGTCGCAACATGTAGCACACTTCGTGGCTTTTGCATCTGCGTCCTCAGAGCCTGACAGGAAGAGGTCCTGCAGAGAAGGATCACGGGGTCAACATCGAGAACCTCTAATCTTGGAGTCTCCTCGTACGGGTGGGGGCTCACCTTTGCAAGCAAAGAGACAGCTTCCGTCTGCCTTGGAATGGCTTCTCTCAGCACGCGGCCGAGGTGACTCTGGCGGTGTGGCTGCGGAAGAGCCCTTGGCAGTCACTGCCCTGAGCGCCCCGGTAAGCACTATAAGCCCAGTTGCGATGCAGTGGGTCCCTGGCGCAGATATTTGTTGTCGTGGAAGTCCCAGTACTTGAGCAGGTGCTCAGCCTCAGGTACTAGCAGTACTAGCTCATGCGCCCCAGTGAAGAAATACTCGTCGGCGTCACTTGCCCCGTAGCAATGCCCTGCCAGTCGCCTGTTGAAACTCCTTTTGAAGCGAACACTCGCCCTGTGCCCTCCGCCCTCGGCGCTCGCGCCTCACTCCGGGAAGCAGCCACCGCACAGTCCCTGCAGTGCGAAAGAGTTCCAGAGGATGGACGCTTGGTGACAGCAAGCATAGCAAGCCAAGCAGAGCCTACAAAAGGCCCTAAGGGCTGGAAGCCTATCGTTGTGGAGGAAGCGGATCAACCCCACGCCGTACTTCTCGCAGCCTCCGAGACTCAGAAAGGCGAGGACCGAGGAAACCCATGGAAGCCCTAAGCTCTTCTGACATGTCCTCACGCCCCAACTTTTGTGGTTTCCCAATTCTCTGCGGTCAAAGGTGCGGAGGTGCCGGACGCGACCCGCTTTCTCGCAGGAGTAGACATACACGCTCTTGTCCTCGCATGGTGTGACAGATTGTGACAGCTTTCCGTTGTACGTACTTGTATACACAACTTCCGTGAAGAGAGGGCGCGGGGATGACACCTCTTTCATGAGTGCAACAGTTATAATACTGAGCAAATACATGACATTGTACATGTCACTACCCGGTAGTGTCCTCGCCCGAAGTCACCAAGTGCTGGCCGTCGTATGTGAAGTCCATCCTCACCGCCACATCCGTGGACAAAGCGAGCCGGCACTTGGCCATGAGGCACGGGCCCGCTAACTGGGCCTTTATGGTCCCTGTAGACCTTGCCGACTGCCAGGCTCTGCACCTCGCAACGACATTGAGACTGGCAACCTCCACCAATTCCTGGGCAAAGCAGAAAGCGATAACTCACCAGGGGCGGCGCCAACCCATCGCTAAGTTTCACCTTGCGCTGTCACGTCGTCTTTTTTATTGTTATTCAGGTGATGCCGGGACGAGCCCCACCGCAGCCGCAGGACGGAACTGCTTTCGTTGGTTGCACTTTGCCTCTCTCGCTGTCCTGCTGCCTTAGCTGCCTTGTTGCATACAGTGATGCAATCCGAAGGTCGTGCCTTTGCGGTTGGTCGAGACCTCAACGACATGCCACCCCTCTCTTTCTGACGGGCGTCAGGATATCCCTCAGGTCCAAGCGGAGCGGCCATGGCCCGAAGATTCGGTTGGACCGGTTTGCTACACAAGCAGCTTGGGATGGTCTGTCTCAATGCTGGGGAAATCGTTTGTCACAGCTTACATCAAAACCAAGTACGATAGTCCTTCATGAACTCCATCAACTCATATGTGGAATCTTGAGCCAGTCCCCGGGCCAGCCGACTTTGAGGTGTTGAAATTGGCAAGTGTTGAACGCTTCAAGGGGGTGCAATCCACAGGCGTCGAGGTGGGAAACATGGAAAAACGCCAACCCAGGCAGGGCCCCTGCCGGCTCGGCTAGCTGCACAAGACCAAACAAAGGAGCATCACACCAGTACATTAAACAAACCCCTGCATATCATTCCCTAATCGACATAGCAATGTCGGAGGGCCGGCTCCTGACCAGCGCCAATTAACGCATCCTTCAGGAGGTCAAATCTTGGAGCATTTGAGAAGTTGCTGGAGCCCCGAAAAATATTTCAGCAGCAACCAAGAACCCGGTGAGCTGTGGACGTGTATATAAACAATGGTATACGGCATACGTTGCGATGCTGGATGTTGTCGAGCTGCTACCGCATCATAATATCTTGGTTAGGGTGGATATTGTCGTCGTTGTCGTGGCGAACGAATGCTCATGTCAGAAACAACAAAGCGACATGTTTCACTCGTGTACTCAACACTGAGTCGGAAAGCCTGTGCTCACACAGCCTTTTCGCCTTTGATGATGGCATGTTTCGCGTCTGAGACCCGAAGTGTCGCCACAGGTGGTGGGTGCCTGCCTCACCCCCTCCCAGGCGATCACTAAGGAAAACGACACTGATAAGCAAAGGAGGAAATGTTTACGATAACTAGGGCAGTGATGGTGGGAATAAACATTCTCCTCGACTTGGTCCGGCGCTGCAGCATCGCTGCTCCAAGTCGAGACTCTCGAATGCGTGTCCCTTGGCACATACGGTGCTTCACGACATGTTTCACTAAAGTTCTCACCACTGAATCGGAAAGCCTGCGCTCACACAACCATTTCCCCCCACCCCAGCAAACCGAGGATACCAACGCCACTGTAGTGCTCGAACTTGGGCAGGAAACTGAGAAACGGAGCCAGGTGCCAGATTCATCAGTAAGTCGTTGAGCAGCGTGCGCCGGAAAGGTTGAAACGACGCTGAATTCCGCTCTCGAGATGGGGTCTTTCTTTTCATTCTAACGCACAAGTCGAGTCGACTTTACCGCGGGCGCTACATAATCATACCACCCGGTGGGTACGATAACGGCCTTTGCATGCACGCCGGACATCATGCAATAGCAATTTCCCGAGTGCCAGCGGCATGTTGCCGCTAAAACTTGTGAAGTGAGACATACTTAAGGTGCTTGCTAACTGGGTGATGTGCCAAAACCAGACAAGTCAGAATGAAAGCAACAAGGATGTGCCTCATGATTCCATGGTGCTTCTTGAAAAGAAACTGCGGCAGATGCTTTCTTCCAACAAGACTCTGGCATCCGACTTGCGTGGCCACATGAAATCGGCCGCCACATCTGTAGCTGCATCCCAGTCATCGCAGAACACCCGGGGGTCCAGGGAGATTCGTGCAGCTAACGAGGTCCGACAATCTGCGATCTACAAGCACTTTGCAATTGTACATGTCACAAAGTGCAACGAGACAGGGCCGTCAGGCGGCACCCGACTCTGAAAGGAGGTTACGCGGCGCCTGTAGCACGGGAAGGAAACAGGGCTCTGAAGGGCCGGCAGTCGGCACCTGAAACACAGGCTGTGGACACCTACCTCCGACTTCATTGAAAACGGGCGCCCACGCAAGCCCCGAAGGGCCAGACCGTCAAAGGCAGCTCCAACAAAGGCTTTCTCGCTCTTACTAACCCAAGGCCACAGCACTTACGCCCCTTCTCAAAGAAATCACACAAAAAGGGCAACACCCATGTCTTCGAAAGTCAAAGACCATAGTTGCCAGCAGCATTGTCAGTAAATTGCTTTTGTCGGCAGAGAATCGCTGGGGCACAAAAAAGCAGGCCCCTGTACACGACCTTGGGCGCTGAAGAAGAGCTCCGTCGGCACGACCCCTTGCATGGCCAGAGCTGTTCGGTTAGTTCTTCCAGGCCGACCGCCCTGTGCCCAGAGCAATTTGAACCACTTCATCCGAGCCGATGGAATGCCAAGCATGTTGGTTTAAGGATGCGCGTTCTGGGGTGCAGGATCCTTTCTCGGGTTTGATAAACGGGTCTTGGGATGTAAAGCTTCGGGTCTAAGTTTTGGGGTGTAAGTTTTCGGACTTTGAGCGGGCAGTTTTGGATGTCGGGTGTGCAGTTTTGGGTTTGCAATCAAACACTTCGGACGTAAAACCTTGGTGGCCAATAGTTTGGGCTTGAAATTGAACGGTTTTGTGTTTAGTCGCGGCCTTGGGATGAGCTTCGAGTATCAATCAAAACGAAAGAGGGCTTAAAGGTGAAGCGGTTAGGTTTAAACTGGAAACAAACAGGCTTGCGCATTTGGGCTTATAAGGCTTCTGAAATTGGCGCTGAACATCAGATACAACCACGATGCACTGCGCCTGTGCCTGCGCTGGCCCTTCAACGTGAAACTGTCAAGCGTTACATTGTCTGAGGGTCGGCGTTTGGGGATAAGGACCCGCAGGCTTTGAGTAAGCATTTGGGTGTGAGGCCGCAGCCTGCAGTTCAATAGTTTAGCATCGGAGATCTGTACACCTAAGCAAGAAAATCTGAAAAGGGGAGTTGGTATCCCAGAGCCTGCATCCGGATTTCCCCAACCCCCCACCCCAACCAAAGACATCGTGGAGAGTCGTCGGACGCAAGAGTTTTGCACGGATTTGCGCTTCCAAGTCAAGAAAACTTAGCTGCCTCTTATGTTGTCTCTCCATGAAAGCTGCAGGAATGGACTCTGTGGCGGCAGGAAACCGTGGATGCTATCTTTTTCCTTCATGCGTGGGCCGGTGCCAGCCGTACGTGCTGCTGGTTCTCAACCCCGTTACTTCTGCCCTTGCCTTCAGCAAGAGCACCTGAAGCAGGGTTCTCACATGCGGCGAAAGAGCTCCGGGAGGACATGCGCCAAATTTGCTTGCTCCCGCGACTGGACTCGCCTGAAAAAGACTTCCTCCTCTCCGACCCACTTAAGCCACGATGAAACCTGTTCTATTTCTAGGACCATGTCTTCAGCAAGAAATTTATTCGGATACTGCTACAACTGCGCGTGGCGTCCTCCCAAATTTCATTCGATGGCTCAAGCCACCAAGAACCCTGTAACTTGGTGAGACTGACGACGTTTGCGAGATTGACCCGCAGGAGCTCCCGATGCAGGAGTACACGTACGAGGTCTGGGACGATTTTTGGTATGGCTTTGAGAGGCCATGTTGGGCCATGTTCAAAACGAGCCGCTGCAGATAGAATTAAACTTCCTCATCAGAGGCCACTCCAGACTCCTGGCCAGTTGGCATGGCGACTTGTACAGACAGGAAATGACAGTCACGCCGTGAGGCTGCGTCACTCTCCCGCCTCCTCAAGCTCCAGCATGGCATTGCCCGGGTCGTCTGCTGGGCGCGCCTCGGCGTCGCTCGCCTGCACGAGCATGGCCGTCATCATGCGGCGGTTCGACAGCACAACACCCAAAATCTGGTGACAGAATGCGTATCAGCCCTCGCTTCCCTCCCTCCCGCACCTGCCCTTCGACCCTCTGGCCTGGAGGTGCTGCGCCATTTGGTTGGTCTTCTCATAAACTTCGAGGTCGTCATCGCCGAGTTCCACCTGAAAACTGTAGATGAGCTTCTTGCTCCGTAGTGGGGATGAGGCCCAACCCAAAAACACTACATACAGGAAAAAGATCAAGGCTTGAGGGAAAACCCCCATGTGAAAAATAGCGCTGTGCTTGCTGCGAGCCTATAGCCGCAAACGTGGACAAACCGGATCACGGGACCCTAAACCATTAAGCATGCGCAGCTCTCTATGCCGTCTAGTCACGACCAGAAACAGATCTGATGCTCGGGTGAATCAAATACTTGGGTGAGGTCACTTACGTCATGTTATAACATGTCATGGCACATCGGTGCATCGTATCTCATGCCGCTTGTGAGTAGGAAGGTGTGCATGCGCGACTGTGCAAAATGTGCAACATGATGGCAACGTGGACACAAGCAGCACAGCTACATAACATTTGTATATATATATATTTATGTATATATATATACAGTATACATAAGGTTCACAGACTATACTCTACACTCATGCGCAAATCTCATCATAAGCTAACGGTAAAGGTCTAATGCCAAAACCTGGAGTGCAGCTTGCAAATGGTTGGCGCCCCACTTCGGTGGGGCCATGTGCGTATGCTTCTCTTTGATGAACTTATCGGGGTCACGCCTTGTTACATGTCTTTTTCGTCTTCCAGGGGGACAGACGGGGTGTACGGGAACTCCGTCCACCGAAGCTCTCCCCTACACCCCAGGTAGACACACCTGCATTTGTCTGCGCCTGGGCCCCGTCGTGGGCAGCTGGCGGACCGTCATATCTTCACCTCACCTCGTGCTACATCATTCCCGGGTACGCTAGTTGATCAGCCCCGTAACACGTTGCTGACGATGTGTACCGTGCCCGAGTTGGTCGGAGGAGTCCTCGATGCCTTCGCTGCCAGACTCGGAGGAGATTGATGCAGGCACGGATCCAGAAGTGCTCGTGCGAGCTAGGCAACATACCGTTGCTCAGCTTGAGCAGGGTCTTCCCTCTGGTCCGCCTGTGCCTGCACCCGTGTGTCCTGCCTGACCTTAATGATCGAAGGGACTGGTCTTCTGAACGGTTGGGCTTGGCTGAGACCGCCAGTGATGGACTTCGGACTATCCCTCGACGCTTGACTCGGCGCTCTACTCCTCCCGGTACCAGCACTGATCATGCTGGGCCAAAAGCTCCACCTGCTGCACCCACAGGTTTGCTCCATGGGCGAGAAGCTGCCCCTTTCGGGCTGCTTCAGGGGAATGCAGCACCGGGCGCAGCGGCCAGGGAGGACTCGTGCTAGATACCTTTTGATCTCAGTTGGGAGGTACAGATCCATCTTACCCTCAAGGCCCAGCCACGAGTTGGGATATGCGCTTTGGCCAAAAGGCGCCTCGTTGGGATATTGTCGCCTTCGCCCGGGCTGTTTCGTGGCCGGCTGTGGGGAGGCTCATGCTCGCCTGTGCCCTGGCTGCTGTCTTTATGCGCAGCTGAATGCAATACATCGTGCCACGTCTCGCTGCTCATACAATGCCTTGCTTTGCCATCATGCTTGCAATGGTGATGTCATGCCCTTGTGCATTGCGTACACCCCCCCTCCACGGCAGAGTGTACACCCACCGGTCGATTTTGGGGTGAGCGTCTCAGAGCCAAGCCACATGGCTCACATGCGCATGCTTGGCTGCACATGCGCCGTTTACGATCGCGTCTTGCGGTTGGATATCTTCGAGGTCTCCAACATGTGGCGCTCTTTCACTCGCTGGATCAATGCGGACTTTACGGCCGGATGCACATCCCGTCGCATTGCCGTTGTGCCTGCTATGCGTGTTGATTTACCTGTCGTATAATGTATTGTGACATTGGATGGTTCCGCTGAACCGGGTTGAATGCTCCACAAAGCCTGAATCCACTTGTCCTCCTGCCTTGAATCCGGACGTGTCTACATTTGGTAGCGGTGTACACTCTCCGGTGCTGCCTCTTGAAACCGCCATCACGCACCTTCACTTGCTCGCGATGATCGTACATAATGCTTATGATGCTTCAATGCTGCTGGGCAGTCTTCATGTGCCACGGTTGGCCGGTCACTTGCCGCCTCCATGGGTGCATTACTTTCTGCCCTCTGATCTGTCCCATCTGGCCTCCTCTTACTTTGTTCAGCTGCTGATCTCATTGGTCATGACTCTGATCTCTTGGCCCAGGTGGGTGTGCCTGTGCACTCGCCGCCTCGAGGATGTTCATTGTACGGCTCTGTCCTTCTGAGGCCTGTTGTTGTGTGATGGGGCTCTTTCTGGCTCAGTCTCTCCACACTAATTGAACCGGCTACAGCTGAAACTGTTTCTGTCAAAAGGGCGTACAGTCGCGCTTGTCGCCGTGCTGTACTCAATCCGCTGCAGGGAACTTATTGCAGGGGGAGATGGTGTTCAGTTGCTGATGTCCTCGGTCGAGGTGCGCCTCGCCAGCCTGATCAACCCACCTCTGACGCTGTCTGCAGGCTAAAGATTGTCTCGTACAAGGCACGGCCATCTCTTTGCTGCACGCTGAGAAGGGCAGGCTCCGGGTGTTTCGGCCAAGACCATCCGAAAGGATGTTTGGGCTGCGCTTCGCAGGCTCATCCGCTCTCTAATTATACCTACCAAGCATGTCTTAGCCCTGGCTGGGGATTTTAACACTCCGTTTGCTGCCTTCGCTGCCAGGGTAGATGCTCGAGCTGGGCTTTTTCAAACTGCTTTGCCTGCGGATGCTGCCGAACTGGGTGACGTGATGGCTGACTGCGATCTGATGCATCTCAAGTCTTGGACCAGATATGCGAAACTTTTCGCGGCTCAGAATTCCTTGACGATATCATGTGTTTGTACGACTCTTGCTTGGTGACCACATCTCGTGCAGAGCCGGGCCGTGAACTGGCAGCTTTTCGGTGGCGCAAGGGTGGCTTCCACATGCCAGTATTGAGCTTCCTGCCGTTTGCTCTCTTGCAAGATCATGAGGACCCCGAGTGTGCATTCTTGATCGTGTCACTCTTGCCAGGGTGCGTCGTGACATCCCTGATGACAGGGCATTTGCCCTAAATAGCCGTGCTGTTTGCTGTTATTTCCTGGCTGGCCGCCCATCCACACATGCCATGGTTGAGGATGTCAACCGTCACCTGCACGACATTGCCATAGACTTCAACTTCTTGCCTCGCAAGATGCAACATGGCAGACTGGCTCCCTGGCAGGATGATCAAGTTGGGATGTCTGTCAAGGCTGCGCGGGCTGCTTACAAGGTCTGGCGGGGCACTGGTCAGACTACTCGCAATATGGCTTGCGTGGTATGCTTTCAGCAAATGTCGCAAGGGTCAGCGTGAGTTTCCGAAGGCGACCAGAAAGGGCCACAACGGATTGGTTTCAGTCTCAGGTTGAAGTGATGGAAACCACAGCCCGTAAAGGTGACACTCGTGTGTTCCAACTCGCAGGTCAGTTCTGGCCGCGACAGCGACGACGTGCTCTTCAGCTTCGAGGTACACCAGGGCGAAATTCTGTCCCACACTGAGCAAGTTAGAGCTTTGCAGAAGAAGTTTTACACTGAACTGTCCGCAGCACAATCGGTGCCCTCTGCGGATCCTGCCGGATCCTCTGTTGACTCTCTGCAGGTCACCCCTTTTCAGTGTCTGTGCCCGGACTCACTCGCCCGCGCCCTGCGTCGCCATACGTGGTCTTTCTCTCCACAAGGCTGCCCCGGCGCACCTTGCTCACACCTCGATCTGGGTCGCATGCTCGCAGGCGGTTTCGTCGTGGCTGATTACTATGATTCAACAGTCGACTGTGATTCCGCGAGTGTCCTCGTCGGCCTGCGATCTCCGAAATCTCTGGCAGGATTGTCTGGCCTGCCTCAGGATCAACTCCGGCCTTATGTCGAGGCTTTCCTTGCCCAAGATCCACAGTATGCCTTTTGTCGAATCGATCCACTACTCAGGCACTTCTGAAGGGTCACGCGGCACTGTCAGGAGGAGCCGCAGTCAAATGACATCTCCAAATCGCTTCCGCCTCACGTCCGCGCAGGGGTGCTATTCAGGATGTCTCTTGATTTGACTCAGGTCAGGCCTTTGATCGGTTGGAATGGCTGCTGCTCTCACTGCGGCTGCTGTTCCGCGAGAACTCTATGGACTGATTGTCCTGTGGCACAGAGATCTGTACTATCGTTTGAATGTGTCTGCTGCCACTGCTCGTGTTCCCGTCGCCGGTGGTGTGCGTCCCCTCGGTGAAAGATTTGCTGACGCGGGCTGCTGCTAGTGTCGCTGTTCGAGTGGAGCATAAGTCTGGCCTGCATACGGAGGATACTTTGAGGCACTTACTTCGCTGAGTTGCTGAGAGACAGGGTTCACTCCGGCGGCTTGCCGATCCAGGTGAGGTATCCTCTGCACTGCATCTCACCTTTGAATTCCCCTCCCTGCCACACAGTTGACACCTCTGGCCCTGAGGGTGAGCCTGACCGCGGTGAGGGTGATACCGCTGTCCCGCCTGCTCCGCTGCTCCGCCTGCTTTGCTGACCTTCGTCTCTTGCGCGTGCGTCAGGCCTCTCGCAACGGGCTCTTGGCATCCCTTTCGACCGACATGTGCACTCGTGTTTGGGCATGTCTATTTGTGCATTGTGTAATAATTTGGTCGACGGTCAACCTTGCAAGATCCCGTTAGGAAAGGTCACTGGCAAGCTCTTCCAGTCACTGGTGCGTCTGCTGCCTCTCCCTCCAATGTCAATGTGGAGGACCCTCCCAGCCCGGGCCTGTATCGGCTGCCTTTGCCCCTGCCACTGTCTGTCCTACCAGATCAATTTCACGTGCTGCGGATCATGCCTGACAGATCTGTGATGTCTTGCTTGGAACAGGCACGTGTGGAAGGCTGGCACCCCAACAAACACTCACAGGCAAGGGCAGCGGCAAGCATTAGGGGCAAGGCAGGGGTCACGACAAACCAGCAACCCGTAGCGGGAACGTCGGTGGAGCAGTATGACATGTGGCTCCGAACCACACTGTTCTTGCTCACATGGCCCGACTCCTTCTTTGTCACGAGACCAGTTGCAGGCGATTCAGCAGGACATGAAGCTCCACTTGTTCCTGAGGCCGGAACCGCCGGCGTCGGTGGTCCCTTTGATGACACAGGTGGCCAATTAAGAGGTGGAGAGAGAGCTTGCAGTTGCGAATCAGATGAAGTCGTCAGTTCGGGAAACCATGCTGAGGGAGCTTATCCAGGATTTGAGGGTCGGATCAAGGGTTTTGCGTCGCACCGGGAGATGCAAGAGACTGCTGCCAAGATGAATTGGGTGGACAGCCAAGGGTCGTGGAATTACCGTCGGTGGAACCGGAAACTCAGGAGAAGAAGAACTGATTCCCCAGGTCGAGAGCAGATCCACGGAATAGATCGTTCAGGGCCTGGATGCCATCGAGGCGCTCATCACCGGGACGACAATTCGTCACTTCGGTTCGCTCAAGCTGAAGCGTTTTCGACAGAGCTGTGCTACCAGCTGGGTTCGGTTCACACTGGAGATCGAGCTACGGACAGATGGCGATCACCCTTGGAAACACTTCAATGCGTTGATCAATTGCTCCCACTGAGCCCTTGTGGCTCGCAGCTAAGGATCGGTGATCTCTCCCTCGCCTTCGTTGGGTAGGAGCGCTGGCCCCTTCATCTTGCCGTACACGTTCTGGGTGTTCGTCAAGTCAAAGTTCATCATCATCATGCTAGGGGCAGCTCCGACTGGTGTCCCAGAGCTAAAGATCTTGTTTGCTGCCGCTGCGGTGGTGGCTTCTTGCTCCGGCTGCTCTTCGCGGTCTTTGCGTCAGTCGTCTTCGAGGGCGGCTTCACCTTCAAACTTCTTCATCATCCTCATCATCATCATGATGCCATTTGAATAGTGTTCTCGTTGCCGTCCTGAACGTCTTGCTGCATCACTCACTTGGGCACGAGGCTAGCCTGGACAAGATTCGTCCGATTCATCATGTGCTTCGACAGCAGCAGATCCGAGCATTTGACGTTACATGTCTTGGATCATGCTTATCAGTCCATGGCAGAATCCCTATCGCCAGCATGATGCTGCTTAGTTTGCTCAGCCTCTTGTTCCCAAACTGCGTATTCCACTTCTGAGAGGTTGCTGGCAGGCGCGACGTTTTGAGGCTGGTGCACATCGTGTTCTAGACTCTGGCACTGCTGCATGCCCTATTCCTGTTGTGGTACAGGGGGCTGCTTCGCTGCAGCATTGCATTGATCAGTGGCATTCCTAGCATTCCTCCTCTCTGCATGCGTTCAGCTCTGATGTTACGACTGTGGCTCTTCAACTTATGAGGTTCAATGCAGTGGGGAGGGGGGTTGGAAATGCATCGCCAAGAACTCAGCTCCAGTGCTGGGTATGTTGGATGATGTTCTATTGTCGATTTTTGTGGACAACTCGTCTTTACACTGCGAGCGTCATCTTTTCCAGGTGGCATCGATTGTCATTCACTATGGTGAGCAAACAACAGCTGGACACCATCGATGCCTGTGGCAGAAAAGTGTCCGTACATGGCTCACTGACGATGCCGTGCCTACTGCGACATGTCCGCCTGCACACCTTGATCTGGTGAAGAGTCAATCATACCTGGTTTGGTTGGTGCCATGCGGATGTCTGAGGTCGAATGTCACTGATCGCCGATGGATCACTCCATGAGAGTTTGAGCGAGTTGGCATTGACGGCCATTGTGGCTGATGCATCCGCGTAGTAGCCAAGCACCCTTGAGATGCCGAAGCCCCACCTGCGGGCTTTGCTGCAGTCTCGCTAGGCGGATCTACTCTCGCTGCGTCCGGAAGCAGATGTGCGTATGTATGTATGTATGTATGTATCCTGCGTGTCATCAACGAGTTCAGGGAGACCATTACGGGGGATTCCGTCAAGACCTTCAAGTGCGCCAGCTACGGGAGAGCTACCAAACGGAATGGGTACAATTCACCGTGGAGGTACAACTCCGAAACCCGGGAGACAAGCTATGGTCGTTGCTGACGGAACTGATTGGCTGCGCGGCTCTGCACCTCCTAGCGGGGAGACCCCGACGAGACAGCTACGTCCAGTCGGGCCTGGCACAAAGCATCCAGGAGCAGCTCTGGTGAGGCCGGGAACTGACTTGAATGTGTTGGGTCTACCCCTTGCTCAATTAGCCTCGCCAATCCAAGTGCAACCACCTGTTATATGAATTGCTCCTTGCATGCCACCTTTCGCATCCTCTCCACGTTTCGGCATCAAGATCAGACTGCGCTTGGCCAGCTGGGGGTCTACCCCTTGCTCAATTAGCCTCGCCAATCCAACTGCAACCACCTGTTATATGAATTGCTCCTTGCATGCCACTTTTCGCATCCTCTCCACGTTTCGGCATCAAGATCAGATTGCGCTTGGCCAGCTGGGCAACCTGTGGGTAGCATACAGCAGCATCCTCAGCTTTTTCACCTTTGTCATCATTTGCCATGGGTAATGCTCATGATCTCATGGCCGCGTTTGCATTCTCAGTATGATGCAGCAGAGTTTATGGCACATATGCTACACAGATTGCGGCTTCCTGCCCTCCTCGGCGGGTGGGAGGCACGGCAGATTGAGGCCGGTGCCGTCACTGTCAAGGATGAAGGCCCCATTCACCAACGTATCCCTCTCCCTATCCAGGGGAGAACGAGCTTGGCTGATTGTCTTGAAGCATGGCACACTCAGGCTGCCATGCATGCTCTCTCGTCGCACCCTGCAGCCAACGCTGTTGGCCTTCAGCTGCTCAGGTTTGAAGCACGGGGTACTGAACAGCGACCGCGTCGGAACATCCGACAAAATGCCGGGCCCATACAGGGTATCCTTCATGCCTCAATTCCGCAACCCTGCAGATGCTGAGCTCTGTTATCCGGTGTTTGAGGTCATCGCCTCGATTTTGCATCGGGGTCCATCGGTGGGCAGTGGCCGCTATGTCTGTATGGAAAAGCGGAGACCCGCTGTGGTTGCTTGATGATGCCTGCACTGCCAGAGAATGCATTTCAGCCGACATCGCAAGAATTCCGACTGACGCCCCGTCTGGTATCGTAGCCAGCAGGGCATCACGGAGAATGAGGTTGGGCGTCCGACTAGGATAGTGAAGTTGATGGTCGTTGTGGCCTGACTTGGTGTGTGTCCATTGAGACACCGTACCGAATACCGGCGTGACACGACTCGCAAGGCGAAGCTTCCCTTCGTTTCGTCTGCAAGAAAACGTATGTATGTATGTATGCATGCATGCATGCATGCATGCATGCATGCATGCATGCATTTATTGTTCTGTAACATAACATACAGTACCACGTATTGTGATGTAACGGAATGTAAGGTGCTATCGCGTGATGCAAGTAATGTGAAGTACAGTAATGTCGCGATGCAATGTGATGTATGCGCCTCTGTATGTATGTATGCATGCATGCATGCATGCGTCTGTATAGGTAGGTAGGTAGGTAGGCAGGTAGGCAGGCAGGCAGGGAGGGAGGGAGGTCGGCCGCCAGGTCGTCGGTGGGTCGGTAGATACATATGGGTAGGTAGGTAGGGACGTGAGAGGTAGGTGCGAAATAGGTAGGTAGAGGTAGGTAGAGATAGGACTGCCTGCTTCTCTGACCACATGAATCGCCTTGCCTTGGCCCGCTGGTTGGTGGGTGCCTCGGAACAGCTTGTTGCCTGGCAGGCTACATCAAGTCACTAGCGCGCAGCTTCGGTTTGTGCTGATGCTCAATACTCAATATTGGGCCGTGCGTTCAGGTGCAGTCGCTTGGCCATGCTGCTTATTCACAGCAGCCACAGACGTATGTCACAGGTCCAGGTCTTTCCTTGTCTGCTGCATGCGGGCTGCTATCGACTGTCTCAAAGATGGAATCATCCCTCTCGCCGTTCCCTCGCTTGCTCTCTTCTTTTCATCCTCTACAGGAAGATGAGTATGCGCCCTGCGACGCCATGGTGTTCTCGATTTATCGGACGGCGGAGGGGCAAAGCACTGAACAGGAGTGAATGTGATGAGAGACGTGCAGATCGCCCAAGACAAAGTGCAATACGACATATGGTCGCTGGCCTTAAGCATTGGGGCTGGGGCTGCAAACAAAAATCCTGGAGCGAAGACGAATCAGGTCATTGTTCTGTGGTCTTCGTTTCACAGCACAGTCTTTGCAAAGCGCATCAGGCCACCAAGCCCGTCAGAGGCTACACATGGCTACACGAAGTGCTACCGGGAATCACCGAGTAGAGGACGACCGTTGGGAGTCTGCAGGGGACGAGTTCCACCATGTTCCACCAAAGTGAGGCTGTGAGGCTCCCAACTTGTCTCACAAGCTTATGCCAAGAGACGATCGTCTGCGGCGCAGGGCGCTTTAGAGCACTCACGGAAGATTGGCCGCCGGGCACTCGTCTTGCCGCCGTGTTTTGTTGTAATCTCTGTGCGGTCTTTGAAGTTGTGGGCAACCGGCGGATTTCTGCAGATATGTGCAGTCGGGTGTGTTTCTCGTGCCTGCAATTGCTTGCATATGTTTGCAGTCTGTCCGCTCCTCCCACTGTGCATACCAGGCGTAATCGGTGGCTGGTCCATGGTCTGCTTTTATTCTTGCTTGGAATTCTGAAGCACCCCTGGCGCGCCCCAGCACAGAAGTCTGCCCGGCGAGCCCAGCAGCACTTGGGCCAACGCTTCGTTTCTTGTTCTCCCTCCTTCCCTGCCTCCCTCGCTCCCTCTCTCCCTCCCCGCACGGCCTCCTTCCCAGGTGCCGGATGCACACTGCGGATGTTGTCCGTGCGTTTGTACGGAACGGAATCTGGCGATGGGACCTAGCCGAGACAGCAAACGCAGAGAACAGTATGGACTCTATAAGCAATCTTGTTAAATCATCCAAAGCATCAAGGCCAACCTCCATCTAGACCCAGCAAATGCTGACGCGGTGTTGCTGCCGGGGTCCCCGCTGCACCGAAAAGGACGGCAAGGGAAGCAAGCTGAATAGCACGTTGGGCCTGAGGCTGAGGCTGAGGAGCACCCGGAAATGTGGTGAAGGTAGGGCTATTTTGAAGTCATAACGGCCTTCCTGTAGCTTCTGCGGTGCTGCATCGTGCCGGGTGCTCGGTGTGAATATATATATATATACGTATGTATGTATGTATGTATGTATGTATGTATGTATGTGTATAAATATTTTTGTTTTCTTCTCTCTCTCTCTCTCTCTCTTTCTTTCGGCAGGGCTATTCTTTCTTTCGCCAGGGCTACGACCGAGGGTTGCCCCTCGATCGCGCGCAGGGCTATTCTCTCTCTCTCTCTCTCTCTCTCCCTAGATATACCTTGACATACACATTACATACACACATTTTCTAACTCTCTCCCCGTGTGGGATGGGCATGGTAGTATCCTTGTCAAGCAGACCAGACCTCTTTGAAAACCACCTTTGAGAGCCCCAACAAGACCCACAGCAGTTGTGAAACCCCCCATGTCAGACAACCCTCTGCAAAACCGGTATGGCCACTCTGTGCAAAGACGGATCCGTGTCTATGGCGCATGGATGCGCATGGGGCACTCTGTTCGACGTGTCCGAGTTTTCCGAGGCCCGGGGCTGCAAGGCCGGCGTTCCGCATCGGCGTGAGGTGCTCGAGCACCTCCAGCACAAGCCTCGGAAGGCCCGGCTGCTCAGTGTTCCCGCCGTGACTTTCTCCTGTTCCATCCAAGAATATCTTTGATCCTCCGTGGCAGTTTGTATAGCTTAGACGGAGGGGCAGGGAAGGCTTTGGCTATGTTGCGAAACTTGGTCCGAGGTGCTTCCCCAGCACGAGCATGAGGACCAAGTGTCCCACTACCACGGGCAGTCTCCTTCATGGCTTGAGAATTCAGAGAGAGAGCACTGCCGAGCGAGAAAGAAAAGACAGAGCAGAAGTCTAGACCCTGTGGCGGCATTACTTATGTCAGTCCTCTTTCTACTGTTTCAGGAGAAGTGAGACAACTTTTCAGACATGGCGTGCAGGTAAGAGCATGTTATCCCAAGCCAAAGCCAAAGAACAATCTTCGGGGAAACCCGGGGTCCTCCTGCCGACGACGCCCAGCAGCTGAAGGGCAACGCCGCAAATTGCAAAGACTGCCCAGCGCCAGGCCTAAATAAGCGCTTTTAACATGACCGAAGTCCAATTCGAAGCGGTCATCACAGCGTTCTCGAGTTCTGACGGTCTTGTACATTAGAAAGCAACGCACAAGAATGACCTTTCGTCAGGTTGGCTGATCTTCGGCTGTTCTGTTGCTGCGTGTCCTGGTCTCACAGCCCAGTTCTCAGTAACTTGGCCTGGACTCTGCAAAATCCAAACAATGTGAAGTGCCATACAGCAGGCTCTTTCTGACGTGCCCTTTGCATTCGGCCGTCTATGCCACCCCAGAGTTCGAACTCTGCTTCCGACCTCCACAGCCTCTGGGATGTCCAAGCGCAGCTGTGCTGCAGCGCAGAAGCTCACAGACACCTGACCATACCACATAACAAGTCGACTTTGTTGAGCTGATTTGGAAAGAGATCCCGAAGTGTCTATACTAGGAGGAGGTAATTAAGATAGCTCGCCACATCAAAAGCGATCGATGCGCTTCAGGTCACCTGTCGCACCAATGTTGGAGAGCCCTTGGGTCCTTTTCCACTCTTATCCAATCGGGGCCAGTTTGCTCTAGACTCTAGAGATTGATCTACGGGCATATCACCATTGACTTGTTACTTGTGGGTCCAACTAATGGATGCCGCAGGCCCAACCTTCCACTGCAAGCAGGCAAAGTGTAGTCTGTGATGTGAGCCCCGTCAGATCTGGGCTTGGCACCAAAACGGTCGACCAGCGCTTTAAGTCCTTTGCAAGCTCAAGAGGAAGCTCGCTTCGTGATGTGCTTTTGATGGCCGTGCGCTGCAACAGTGCCGTGGCCTCCGTCCATTCTGTGTCCCGACCGCACAAGTGCCTCAGTGTCTGCGTCACAAAATATGCAGGCTTCATCGAAGTTCTGTGATAGCGAGCACTCTCCGGGATGTCAACGCAGCCCGTTGGTAACTTCCGGACATGCCCAATCTTCGGGCCGCGATGCAACATGCGATGTTCAGCTGGGCACTGAGACAGGTGTGCAAGAACGCTAGGTTTGCAATCCTTGCGCGAGACATCTGCCCTCACTCCAAAGCTGTATATTCAAAGCATGTGCTGGTCCGAAAGTTTTGATGCATTGCGCAGCATTGCGCCATTGTAGTACAGTCTGTAGAATCTGCAAGCTGAGCTGCAGCAGCACCACGAGGGCATAGCCAACGGAACCTGACATCACAGGAAGCTCTGACCACTCACAGGCGAAAAAAACCCGAACATGTCTGCAAGGGACCAGGCTAATGGTCACCGGCGGCGGCCGAGGCATACTTGGAATCCCAAGCTCTGGTGATTAGCTTTCAGACACAACATATCTGAAATCAGTCGAAATCAGCTGCGGATTCCTCCAAAAGCCTTTCTGAAGTGGGTTCATGTCAGTGTCGTTCTGTTGCTTGAATTGAAAAGGTGTTCGTGATCCTGAGGAAAAAACGACCCAAGCCCTACGTTGTGCCACGCTGCGCCATGTCCCCCTGAAAGCCGGGTGCCCAGCTATACGCCGCAAAGGACGTGAGGAGAAATTCCCTGAGCTCCTCCAGCTCTGGGACCTTTGTCGACTTGGGTTTTTAAACTGCGTGACGATCTGGCAAGCAAGTTTGCATCTTGGTGTACGCGACGAAATCTCGTATGCATGCATCCATACATGCATGCCTGTTTCTGTCTGTCTATCTGTCTATCTGTCTGTCTGTCTGTCTTCCATATGGACGCATGTATGCATGTATGTATGTCAGTATTTATGTATGCATGCATGTATGTGGGGGAAAGTGTATGTGCAAGTGCATGTGTACATCGGCATATACATATATAGTATGTATTGTTTGTTTGTTTATTTATTCATTTATGTTTGCATGTAAATGTTCTGTACACAGCATGTAAATAACATGAAAAAATGTAAACAACATGAACATATGCAATGAACAGGTAAATATGTATATACAAGTGTACGTGTGTGTGTATATATATATGTAGAAAGAAAGAAAGCTGTCTGCATAATCCCCGTGTATAAACCGACTCTGCCTGTCTCAGGCATGGATGGTTTCCACTAACTGTTTATTGTTGCCAGGCCCTATGCACATCACCACTACAACGTTTAATGTAACTTGTTGTTGTTGTTGTTTTCAGCACGTATCAGCTAGTGTCGCACTACATTAAGGGTTTTCCAATTTCCAACCGGACCCACATCCAAGTCACTACAATGACACCACTGCTTGTCATATCACGCAAAGCAATTCCAATGTGACACGGACATCTCACGAACGCAAAATTCGGTACAAGCATGAGCAAGGGGACACAAACACACACACACACATACACACACACACACACACACACGCACACACACCCACCCACACACACACACACACACACAGATATATATATATA